AATAAAAAAAAACAGTGGCAATTTGATAATTTTTTGCATCTAAGTCAAATTTAAGGTGCATAAGTTTTGTGCTTAAGGTGCATGAGATTTATGCTTAAGGTGCGTGACTTTTTTGCTTAATTTGAGTAGTTGTTAAAACTGCGTGGATTTTGTGCTTAAGGCGTGTGAGATTTGTGCTTAAGGTGCGTGGGTTTTGTGCTTAATGTGCTTGAGTTTGTGCTTAAGGTGCATGAGTTTTGTGCTTAATGTGAGTAGTTGGTAAAATTTAAAGTGCGTGGGTTTTGTGCTTAAGGTGCGTGAGATTTGTCTTAATGTGCGTGGATTTTGTGCTTAATGTCCGTGAATGTGTGCTTAATGTGAGCCATTTTAAAATCTTAAGTGCATGGATTTTGTGTTTAATGTGTTTTGTTCTTTGCTTAAGATGCGTGGTTTATGTACTTAATATGAGTGATTGGTGTTCACTTTGTTTGTGTGCTTAAGGTGCGTGGTGATTTGTGTACTTAAGGTGCGTCCAACCGCACACAGTGGCAGAGCCACAATGGGGGCAGTGGGGGCAACACTGCCCTACCCCATATAAATTCTATATATACTTTTTATACCAAGATTTAAACAAAGTTTGTGTTGGCTTGGATGGTAAGGTTGTTCTTTTACCTTCTAATATGAATGCAAGGTCAGCAGTTCGAAACTTGTTGCTGACTTCTTTTTTCCTATTTACTAATATGTATTATTGTAATATTTGCCCTTTGTAACTATGTTTAGTGGCCATTTGTTTTTCACTACTTATGCATTCCATTTAGTTGCCATTTGTTTTTCACTACTTATGCATTTCATTTGTACTTATTTAGTTGTTTAATGGTTATGTTAATTACTAAGGACGAATACATTTGCTGAAAATTCGTTAATGTTAGTTGGCATAGTTGTTTATTTGGAATAATTAGTTAATGTTAGTTAGCATATAGTTGTTTTACAATTTTATTCGTATTTGATATTTTGTATTTTATATTTGTACATTGTATTTGAACATTTTTTAATTCATTTTACCTTTGCTTTTTTACCCCCACTCAACCTAAATCTTGGCTCCGCCACTGACCGCACAATCGCACAGAAAGCATCACCCGCACTTGAACCCTTCCATATATATATATATATATATATATATATATATATATATATATATAATGTTCTGTGAAGGTTTGGTGAAATGCGCTATATATGTAGTTCATGAGAAAAACTATCATTACGATATTTCTTAATGCTGGTTTTATCCTCACAAGAATATTGCTATATTTGTGAGACATTTGTTATACCATGGACCAGAGTCTATCTTGTAATGTGAACCATGGTTCTAAATTGTGTATTTTTAGTATCAGAATTATGAACATTTAAAAATAAATTATATTTTTAAAATTTTGAGAATTTATGAATACAATACAAAGTCATCACAAATTGTGAATTTTAAAACGATAAATTATGAACATATAGTATGTAAATTGTATATCTTTGGATCGACCTAGGTCCAGAGAATAATTTGCCTTTGTTGGATGTGTAACAACAACAACAACAAATAAAGAAAAATTTGATTCACGTGTAGCATCTGAATAATAATTTTATCATATGCTTTTAAAATTTAAATAAATCAGATTGACCTGGGGCATCATAATGCAGTTTTCATCATTTGCCAACAATTTTGAAAAAGAGTGTTAGTTTGGAAATAATTATTTGTAGATATAAGTCATGAAATAACTAAATATAGTTTGATTCACGTCTAGCAGCCGAATTATAATTTCATCATATGCTTTAAAATGCTAATAAAATAGTATTTCTGCCAGAATAAGTAAAAAGCCAATTCAATCAGATATATATTTACAAAATCTGTATGGTCCGCAATTTGAATGAAAACAACAGTCAAAGTTATTGTAGGCAGCTAGAGAAAGCCGATCATTGGCAACAATGGTATTATAGCAGCACATACTTCTCTGTACTGTGAAATTTAAATAAGAAATTAGCTGTGATATGCTTATATATACATCAGTTTTAATTTCTCTCTTGTATGTTAAATATTTAGTGCAAAAACACTAATTTCATAATTATATCAAAAACCTAATTCAAATAAAGCATCATACGATGAAATAATCTTCCAGTTTAACAAAATCGTAAAGAGGAATGCAAATACATAAACAAATATAGGTTACAAGGTGTGAAATAACTAAAGGCATAAGTTTTATCTGTTGCATGTTAAATATTTAGTGCAAAAACACTAATTTCATAATTATATCAAAAACCTAATTCAAATAAAGCATCATACGATGAAATAATCTTCCAGTTTAACAAAATCGTAAAGAGGAATGCAAATACATAAACAAATATAGGTTACAAGGTGTGAAATAACTAAAGGCATAAGTTTTATCTGTTGCATGTTAAATATTTAGTGCAAAACACTAATTTCATAGTTATATCAAAACCCTAATTCAAATAAAGCATCATATATACGTGAAAGGAATAGGTTAACTTACCTCAGTGTATATCCTTCAACTCGACTAATTGTATTCTATTAACATCTTCATCATCGTGCGATGCTGAAAACGAATTTAGGATCTAGATAACAGCTCTCGTGGTTACCGTCTCGATTGCGTCTACATAAACCCAGATTTCAGCTACCATTTAACCAAAATGGAAATTGCACACTTAGAAATTAGGGTAGAAGCATGCAATTCGGACATGTCTAGAGAGAAAGCGACAACGGAAGAGAGAAGTCGAGCTGCAGAGAAGCCATAGGGTTAGAATGGTTTTAATTTCGCGTTATTGGATCGGGTTTTGGGTTTTTATTTTGGGCCATAATTTCTTTTATTATTTTAACTGTTGGGCCTACCATAAATGTAATAAATGTAATGTATACATCTATATAGGATAGTTATTATGCCATGGCCCAGGTCTAAAATGACATTGTTTCTGCAATTATTTCAAAAAATTATTAAAAACAACTCAACGAGTGAATATTGAGTTATGTAATTGTGAATATAGAGTTCAAAAATTGTGATTATAGAGTTCTACAATTGTGAATATTGAGTTTTGCAATTTTGTATATTGAGATCTAAAATTGTGAATATAGAATTTTAAAATTGTGAATATAACACGAGTCAATGGCATAATTTGCCATATATATATATCAAACTTTTATTTTTTTGGTTTGTGTAATAATGTGTAATTGTTTTGTTTATGCAACGCCAATAAATTATATTTTGTTTTTTTATTACATCTAAAACGTTATTGGCCCTATATCTTCAATATAACAATATTTTATATATTGCATCATAATATCATGGTCGTGCAACGCACGGGTGCAACTACTAGTAATAATAATAATAATAATAATAATAATAACAACAACAACAACAACAATAACAACAACAATAACAACAACAACAACAACAACAACAACAACAACAACAATAATAATAATAATAATAATAATAATAATAATAATAATAATAATAATAATAATAATAATAATAATAGTTTCAACTATATTGAGAAAAAAGATGAGTAAAGTATTAAAATATGGGCATATATGTACACTATCTGATCTGCATGATGGGCGATGGAGTCAAGCAATTATGCTTGGCATTTATGTAAATTTTATTTGAGTACGTTGGCCAAGATATCTTACTTACATATCACATGTCGGCAAGAGGATGGGTCTTGAAACGGAATTGGACAATGTAGGAAGCAACGTCGAAAATGCACTTACACCGTAATATATATATATATATATATATATATATATATATATATATATATATATATATATATATATATATATGTGTGTGTGTGTGTGTGTGTGTGTGTGTGTGTGTGTGTGTGTAGTTGCTCATCAGTGGCTCAAAATCAACGGAAAAAAAAAAAACAAAACAAAACAAAACAAATTTTTTTTTTTTTAAATTATTCTAAAATTGGGGCATAAACTGAGTAAAGTATATTTGATATGGCACATTCTACTTGAGTGTACTTATATAGATTACAAGTGCACTAGCTATTACATATTAGTCGATGACTCGAGGCATTTTAAAATTTTGTTCAGTGTATATCCATAATTTGCAATAATATAATTATTATGGAAATGTTGCCATATTTTTTCTTAATTTTGAGTTGTTCAGTTATCATATTTTTTTATAAGATCAACAATCAAAATTATTTCGCATTTTCTATATATAGAAAGCATTGTTCAATTCTCTTGTCAATACAATATAAAATTTAACATGAACTTTGGTCAATTAATTAAAATCAAGCATTGGACATTGATGAAATGGTACACCTAATTTACAGTATATATTCAAGATAGATGAGAAACTATGCCTATAATCATTGTATATTTTTGGAGAAGGAGGATTTGTTTTTGTTTTTTGAAGATGCACTACGTCAAGGCACTAAAATTGTTGTGAAGCATACTAAGGGACTAGATTAAATCAAAAATTCATTTATGGCGGAAGCGACAACAAGAGGAAGCATGGAATAAAATGTGGGTTAATCTTATTGATCAATGGTATAAAATTAAGGGAAAAAATGTGATACCAGTTTCATAAATATTACAAACTGTGTGTGTGTGTGTGTGTGTGTGTGTGTGTGTGTATGTACGTGTGCGCGCGCGTGTGCGCGCACGTGCGTAATGTGCAAAAATATGTGTAATATTTTTTTTTGAAATGATATATGTGTAATATTAATACTCAATGTTAATTATATTATAATATTTCTAAAAATAATAGTATATATATATAATTTTTTTAAAAAAAATTCATAGATGTAGAATTCATATTTTATTAAAAGTATAGTTGATAATGTGAGTAAGAAATATGGTATGATTAATATTATAAAAGTACGAATTTTAGATATGATAAATTATTAAATATATAATTATGGTAACATTAGATTAAAATATAAATTAAATCAAGATTATTTCGTAATAATAATTTTTTTTTAGATCAGAAAGAGGGGGACCCAACAAATCACATGCTTCTGACAAAGGCTGCACCCATTTGATCATGCCGAATGAGCTCATGAACCTCAACTGGTGCTACTGTATGTGCTCGGAAACCCACCCGGTGTGTGAAAGCCTCCCTAGCCAAAAAGTCCGGGACCTTGTTGCCCTCACGGAGAACGTGAATGAATTTCAACTCCTGAAATCTTTCAGCTTCACGCAAGCATCTCCAGATAATGTTACATCCTGAATCTTGCCCACTTGCTTCTCCTCTCAGAGCATTTATAAGCATTTTGGAGTCACTTTCAACCAAAAGCTTTGTCACACCACATTGTCTTGCAACTGTTAAACCAAGCAGGACTTCCCAAGCCTCTGCCTCCATCGCTTTGCACCTTCCAATGTACGATGTAAAACCCCCACACCAATTGCCTTCTTCATCCCTGATTAGACCCCCGCAGCACGCCGTGTCGTCTTCCTTCCGACTGCCGTCGGTATTATTATAAAATTTATATAAAAAATAAACATATGTTCACGGGCTTAGGAAGTCCATGAACAGTAATCAGTAATCACATGTTCCGTTGCCAATTACCTTTTATGGTACTAGGCAACGGGCTTATGAGCCCCATTGACGGGTTCAAACACCATGTTGCCTAGTACTGTGAAGAGACAATGAGAATAACAGAACTGGCAGATGGGACTGTTGAACCCATTAACAAGGTCTATCTCTTAAAAAAAAAATTATTGGTGTGTGTGTGTGGGGGCGGGGGGGGGGGGGGGCGGGGGGGGGGGGGGGATCGTTATGCTGTGCATCCGTGTGCACCATACGGATGCAAAAACGACGTCGTTTTGACTAAAAACGCGCGTCCCACTTTAAAAAAATCAGTTTCGACTCCCCTCAATAGCATTATGTTGTTCATTGATTCTGGATTTTTAGTTCATTGATTCTGAATATTTAGACGGAAATCAAAACTGATTTTTTTTTTCATTCATGCTGGATATTTAGTTCATTCATGCTGGATATTTAGTTCATTCATTATGGATATTTAGTTCATTCATTATGGATTTTTAGTTCATTCATTATGGATTTTTAATTCATTCATTATGGATTTTTAGTTCATTGATTCTGGATTTTTAGTTCATTGATTCTGAATTTTAGTTCATTGAGCCGGGAATCGAAATTGATTTTTTTTAAGTGGACGCGCGTTTTTGTCAAAACGACGTCGTTTTTGCATCCGTGTGCACCATGCAGATGCACAACATAATTTGCCGGGGGGGGGGGGGGTGTGTGTTTTTAAAAAATAATTTATTTTCTCAAAAAGTTTTTTAAAAAGCCTATTACAAAAAGTTGATTAACAAAACACTCATATTGGTTGCTTGACCAAGTCAAACAGTTAATAGTGTTCAAATAAATCAAAATTGGCTGATAAGCGCGCTATGTTAGCAAATAGGGTTTCAATCTATTTCAATCATATGACCACCCATTTGGAATGGTAATAATAGATGTACAATCACACTACAGTATACTTAAAAAAACAAAAAACAAAAAACAAAACCAAAAAAAAAAAACAAGAAAAAAAAAAAAAAAAAAAACATAGTAGTTGACAAGTAGCTTCACCTTAGAACCTAAACTTGAAAAAAAAATGTAATTATGTCTTTTTTTACTTATTATTAATTTATTATAGGTAAACATAAGATTAACCGCAAGATCATATGTCAAATACTAAAAAAAAAAAAAAAACAAAAAAAAAAAAAAAACAAAAAAACTTCCGCTTCACCCATAATCTATCACGGAGCGTTATGCCCTGGACCAGTGTCCACCATGTGCATGGTGGACACGCTGTACATTCATAATTTCTATATTGTAGATTCATAATTTATATACTGTAGATTTATAATTTTTATACTATAGATTCATAAAATTTATAATGTAGATTTATAATTTCTATACTATAGATTCATAATTTCTATACTGTAGATTCATAATTTATGTACTGTAGATTCATAATTTTTATAATGTAGATTCATATATTTTTATATTGTAGATTCATAAAATTTATAATGTAGATTCATAATTTATGTACTGTAGATTCATAATTTATGTACTGTAGATTCATAATTTGATAACTATGTGTTCATAATTTGATAACCATACAGTTTAGAAATTATGAATCTACATTACAGAAATTACAAATCTACAGTACAGAAATTATGAATGTGTTGTATAAAAATTATGAATCTACATTATAAATTTTATGAATCTATAATTTAGAAATTATGAATCTACAGTATAGAAATTATGAATGTACAATGAGAATTCAATTCTTTGATTAGTTGTAACTGAACGCGAATACAATCAGATAAAAGGTAAGTTAACGTGAGACTCTCCTAACTAATAGAGAGCTCAGGTCAACAAAAACTAAACCACATAAAAAGAGAAATATAAAACTATATAATATAACATGTATTAACACACCCCCTCAAGCTCAAGGGTGGTGCGAGACAACATTGAGCTTGTCGCGAAGAAGCGTGAATCTGGGTCCCGTCAGTGGTTTAGTCAAGATGTCCGCAAGCTGGTCCTTCGTAGACACAAAGTTGACGACAAAGTCGCCGGAGGCCACCTTATCCCGAATGAAGTGATAGTCGATCTCGACGTGCTTCGTCCGTGCATGGAACACGGGATTGGCACACAGGTAGGTGGTACCTAGGTTGTCGCACCATAGAGTGGCTGGCTCGGAGGAGTGAAGACCGAGTTCACGGAGCAGAGACACAACCCAAGTAACCTCCGCCGAAACATCTGCTAGGGCTTTGTACTCAGCTTCTGTGGACGACCGCGCAACTGTCCGTTGCTTTCTGGATAACTAGGATATCAAATTAGACCCAAGAAACACTGCATAGCCACTGGTGCTCTTCCTGTCAATCGGGCAACCTGCCCAGTCGGAGTCGGAGAAGGCATGTATGGCTGTCGACGTGGACGGAGTGACACGCAAGCCGTAACTGACGGTTCCCTTTATGTAGCGTAACACCCGTTTTGCCATGGCCCAATGATCATTGGTCGGTGAATGCATGAACTGGCACAGACGGTTCACCGCATAGGACAGATCCGGGCGTGTGATTGTCAAGTACTGCAGCGCCCCGACGATCCGCCAATAGTGTGTCGGGTTCTCATAGGGACTTGCTGTAGGGACGGCTGATGTACGCCGGTGTGGTAAGAGACTTGCAGTCAAGCATCCCGGCACAACTCAGGAGGTCCGTCATGTATCGCCGTTGAGAGAGAATGAACCCTGTAGCTGTCGATATGGTCTCGATCCTTAAAAAGAAGCCCGGTTTGCCCAAGTCTCGGATCTTGAAGGTAGATGCCAGCCGCTGTAACAAGGTGTTGATTAACTGTGCATCATTCCCCATCATGATGATGTCATCAACGTAGACCAGCAAGAACACCCGAGACGCGCCTGATGTGTAATGGAATAAAGAGACGTCTGTCTTTGACGCGGCAAACCCTGCAAGAAGTAAGAAGTCATGTAGCCTTTTGAACCAAGCCCGTGGGGCCTGCTTCAAACCGTACAGTGAACGCTGCAGATGGCACACGTGATCCGGGTGTGCTGGATCTTCGTAACCAGGTGGCTGCTTCATGTATACAGTCTCGGCTAAATGTCCATTCAGGAAGGCATTATGGACGTCTAACTGGCGCATTGTCCAGTCAGACGAGACTGCAAGAGAAAAGAGCATCCGAACAGTAGTCCGCTTGACTACCGGGCTGTAAGTGTCAAAAAAATCCTCGCCGGCTACCTGGTTGAACCCCTTGGCCACCAGACGTGCTTTATAGCGCTCAACTGAACCATCAGCTGTGCGTTTGGTGCGGAACACCCATTTGCAGTCGATAATATTCATGTGGGGTTCTGGAGCAACCAAACGCCAAGTGCTGTTGTGAAGCAGCGCATTGAACTCTTGGTCCATGGCTTCTCGCCACTGTGGATGCCCTACAGCCTGTGAATAGCAAGTAGGATCAATTGTTATGTGTAAAGCCTGAAACTGCTCATCCGTGCCCCGAGTCTGATGACGATGACGCATCACATGACCACGGTCTTGGGGCTCGGTACGTCGCCTTTTTTGTTCGGGCACGAGGTGGTGCCGTGACAGCTTGAGGCGGGGGTTCACATGCTAAGGGCACGGGTTCAGCCTCTTGCACCGGTATGATGCTGGTTGTCGGGGCTATCGGGGCAAGTCGTGGGACTAGGGGCCCGGATGCCCACGGCAATGAGGCAGGCGGTGTAGACGAGACGGGTGATCTAACTTTAAAAGGGAACACCGTCTCGTCGAACCGAACGTGGCGACAGATATACACCTTCCCAGTTGTACGGTCCATGCATCTATATCCCCTAAAAGACGGGGGGTAGCCAAGGAAAACACAGGGTGCTGAGCGGTATTCCACCTTGTGCCGATTATATGGCCTAAGGTAGGGATAACACAGGCACCCGAAAATTCGAAGAAACGTGTATGGAGGAGACACTTTGTGTAGGCGAGAGTGAGGACTATCAAAGTTTAACACAGGAGTAGGGAGGTAGTTTGTTAGGCATGTGGCAGTCTCGAAGGCAAAGTCCCAGTAATCAAGTGGTACTGAGCCTTCAGCGAGTAGAGCAAGACCCGTTTCGACGATGTGCCTATTACGGCGCTCCACTCGCCCGTTTTGTTCATGTGTGTACGCACATGACTGCCGATGTTGGATACCCAAAGTTTGGAATATTGTTTGTAATTTTTTGAATTCTCCCCCTAAATCCGACTGGACACATTTGATAGAGCGCGAGAATTGTCGCTCTACCAACACTCGAAACAATTCAAATGTTTTATAAACATCAGATTTTACCCGTAACGGATAAAACCAACAGTACCGGGAGTAATCGTCTACAAACGGTAAAAAGTAGCGATTACCACTAGAAGAAACTACTGGAGCGGGGCCCCATACATCAGTAAAAATTAAGTCTAGAACATTCATGCTAGATTTAGGATTCCTATCTAACTTGAACCGAGACGACTTGCCGAGGTGACAAGCCGTACAGGACTCCGCGGATTTTGACTTATTCGACGAAACTGGACAATCTTTTAGAACGTGTTTCTGAACAGCCCCATGCGGGTGACCTAGCCTGCGGTGCCAAACATCTGGTGTGGCCCGGGAACTGACGAACGCAAACTGAGTGTTTGACAACGGAAGCTTGTATAATCCCCCGAAAGTCGATCCCTTAAGCAGAATGTCCCTGGTGTTGGAATCCTTCACAATAAAACAATCATTATGAAATTCAAAATAAACACCATTATCTTTTGTAAATTTTTGTACAGAAAGTAAGGGGACCGACATACGCAGAACATGTAACACATTAGACAGATTTAAACATTTTGACACGGACGGGATCGATGCATGACCGACACGGGTGATAGCCAAACCTGCGCCGTTCCCGACCCGTAGCACATCGGGACCATTGTACTCATCCGAGCGGGACATCATGCTTGCGTCCGGCGTAGCGTGCGCGGTAGCACCGGTGTCCGGGTACCATCCGTCCGCCGACGTAGCCGCGGGAGTCACCGGAATCTCGCCGGCGGTGGCAACATGGGCTTCTGCCGGCGGTTGTGTCGTGTAGCGCTTGTAGCAGTACACCGCCGTGTGGCCTTGAGCACGGCAGATCTGGCATCGTGGAACACCACGATTATTCCGGCCACCTCGACCCCGATTGTTCCTGCCGCCGTTACTGCTCCGTCCACCACGCCACTGTTGACCCGAGGAGTTCCGCCCGCCATCTCCGCCGGATCCGCGACCACACCCAGCATATAAGGCCGCCGGAGGGTGGCCGCCACTGCCGTCTGCCCCGGTCGAATAATCATCAGAGATGATGAACTCCTGAGCAGTCAAGAAGTCGGCCAGTTGCGGTAGAGACACAGCATTGTTGGTGGCGGTTAATGAAGCGGCTAATACTCTCAGGTCCTGATGCAAACCGCGCAGAACATAAAGGTTCTGCTCGGTGGATGACAGCGGTCGTCCGGCTTGCGCCAACGCTTCGACGAGAACCTCCGCGCGCCCCAGATACTCGGCCGTCGACTGGTTGCCTTGTCTCAGCGTCTGGAATTGGCCTAAGAGGCTGAGACATCTCGCTTCGGTGGATGACCCAAGCGATGAAGTGATCGACTGCCACACCGCCGCCGCTGTCTCCCGTCCGACCGCCAAGTGGAGAACTTCGTCGGACATGGAGGAGATCAGCATGGAAAGAATGGACTAGTCTTGCAAGACCCAGGCCTTATACGCGGGGTTGGGGACGACCGCATTCGTCGTCGCACCGGAGCCCGACTCGCCGGAAGCGGCAGCCGCGACTGTTGGCGATGGACACGGCGTCGATCCGTCGACATAGCCCAGCAAATCTTGCCCCCGGAGGAATGGGACAAGCTGAGTGCGCCAAAACAGGAAGTTCCGGCTGTTGAGCTTCATGGAGACGTGATGATGAGCTCCGGCGAGAGAGACGCCGGTCGCCGGCGACGGGGAGCCACCGGCTGTGACGGTTCTCTCCGATGAGTGCGAAGACATGATTAACGGACGGTGGTGGTGTGAGGTGGAGAGAGAAAGAGGATCTACCCTATCTGATACCAAATGAGAATTCAATTCTTTGATTAGTTGTAACTGAACGCGAATACAATCAGATAAAATGTAAGTTAACGTGAGACTCTCCTAACTAATAAAGAGCTCAGGTCAACACAAACTAAACCACATAAAAAGAGAAATATAAAACTATATAATATAACATGTATTAATATGTACAGCGTGTCCACCAAAACAGTTGCATAGCATAATTTGCCATCTATCACAACTCACAAGACTTCCATTTTACAAACTTAGTGACCAACCGCTTAGAAGAAGCTAAGGATTATATTCAGGCCCGCTACACGGGCAAACCAAAAGTTTATTAATTTATTTAAATTTTGAGTGTTAAAAATTACTCCGACCCGTAGAAAACTCCTTGTTCCCATCACTAATATAATAATTATATTAAATTCCTAACACTACATGCTAGCTACACAGCAACTTTGCAATGGATGAAAATTGAAAGCAACTTTTCGAGTAGACAAAGGCAAATAACAAAAGAAGGTTGCCATAATTAGTAAGTGATGACTTAATGCAGAAATAACAGAATGAAGAAGATAGAAATAAGTTAGCGAATTGAAGCAAAAAAGACATCACATACTCATAATCCATAGCTTGTACGTGTTGTGATGGTTTTGTAATATGGTGACGTTTGAGAGAGGGCATATTTATATCTAATAACTCAACTCCGATCCATAATGCATGCATGCTTCTATATATGTAATATATATACCTTTTCTGACTCTAATCCCTCCTCTTTTTGAAGTCTTCACGCTATATTTGCGTATGCATTCATGGTCACGTTATGGTACCTACGTAGATGTTGTTACAATTTTATTTATATATTTTTATAAAGTTTAAGTTGGGAGATGTTATTCCGGTCTAGGACGGGTTAGAGTATATTATTATTAGTATAAAAGAAGATTTACAATAATTAAGTCTGACAACTTGGAGCAGTTGGTAAGTGAATTATTGTTAATATAGGTATAAAGGCAAAGGCCTAATTAAATTGCACAAAGTCTACAATATATAAGACCTAGAAATACGTTTTTAGAAATTTAATTGGTGAAAATTACCAAATGGCCTATAACTACAAAAAATACCAACACTAATTAAGAAATTAAAGAAAATATCATGATAATTTGTCATCCAAAATAAAGAATAGTTTGCATCTTATCTTGAATACTAGTTACATTGGAGAAAAACAAAGACAATATAACTAATAAAATTATTTCTCTTAATTAATTTATTGATAATGAATATTTTTTTAATAAAGACATTTTAAGGACAATGTAGCGAATATAATCAATTGATGAATAATTTGAATGTAAAGAATTTGTATATTGGAGAAAAATAAAGACAATATAACTAATGAAATTATTTCTCTTATTTAATTTATTGATAATGAATACTTTTTTTTAATAAAGACATTGTAGACACATAAATCTAAATTAAAGAAATGCATATGTATTATTTTTTATTGTAGCTACTAAATTATTATTTTAATTTAATAAGAGTAAAATAGAGTACTAATTATGCCAATTTTGATTGGGATGGGGTTCGAACCTAAGACCTTTCTTATTGAAATCAATGAGTAAGTTAACAGTGAACTAATATAAATTAAGACAAAAGATACTATTTAACGGAAAATTTAACGGATAATCATATTCATTGAGGATAAATTAGGAAACCTTAAGGAAAAATTAAAATCTGATCAATCCAAGCCATTCATTTGATCAAAAAATTTTAACCGTCATTTTTTCTACCTATTATAAGCCTAACTCTCTTGGGCTCTTATTAGTATAGTAGATGTTTAACTGAACAAGATCATCATCATCAGGGGCATATGTTTGAGTGGGATCAATATGTACTGTGATGGCATATAAGTTACATGTTACATACCATTCCAAAGAGTTGTTACAGGATTGAACATATCTTGTAAATAATCATGAGTGTTTAAAAAAAATTTATATATATACTTTGAGAAATCTTAAGATTGACCCACTAAAATGAATATAATAAGAGTCAACATATAAACAGAAAAATTTTAATTCTCACAACATAATAATTAAAAATTTAACAACTCTTTTATTTAGTAGTTTTTTTTTACTTGTGAAATTAGCTTTAAATATTACTTGTGGCGACTGCAAGGGTTGAAAGAGCTTATTTAGAAGATAATGAAGAATAAATTGCGCAATTGATCTGAATAGAATATAATCTGATGAATGATTGTTTGGTTACTTTAATTGAAAGGGATGTGTTTGAAAGTATTTATAAAGAACAAATTATATATACAACGTTGTCAAAGTATGAAAAGTTGTCATGGACAATTACAAAATGATGACATTTACTTACAAGTATAACTTATACTTATATTTCTGTATCATTGAATTTAATATTAAATTTAATATATTGACATCACTGAATTTTAATTCTTACTGCCACGGATTATGATTGTATAATCATCTAATTGCTTCCAAGAGGTTAGTTTGAGTCTATGAGATGAAGAAAAGTTGAGGATGAAGTTACTTCTAGCTCAGCTCAATGATCTTGTTTTTATTTAGAAAGGGTGTAGATAAGTACGTAGTTTTGGTTTATGTAAAGAACGAACCTTCCTTGTTTAGCATTTTATAGTTATGAATGCATTAAGGTAGAAGCCCTCCAAATTTATTGTTTTCCTAAATTTTCTTTGTTTTATTGTGTAATCGGTGAGCCTAAGCATCCAGCCAAGAGTATGTTGTAAGGAGCCAAGATTTATGTCTCCGATCCTTGCTCATCTATGTATCTATTCTTTTGATTATTAATATTATAGTCATAATATTGTCCAATAAAATTATTATTTTTTAAATGTTGAAGAATTGGTTTGATTACATTTCCACTTATATTCCCTAGGGCAGTTTAGGGTTTAAACTAACATTTTCACTTATATATGCGAAAAATCAACGGTGTAGGTTGATGCCAAAATTTTCAAAATTCATCACACTACACTTCTATCCTTTTATTTAATTTCTTCATTTTTAATTCTTTTTAATATTCTTGTGACAGTAGAGGTGGAATTGTCCACCCAATTTTTATTTTTTCAATATTCTTATTTTGGGGTGACGAGGTAAACTAGCTGATGTGCACCTATAAAACCCCACTCATGTGTAATAAATAGGAGACGTTGTGCATGATATGCGGGCATCTCTATTAGTATGATTTTTGCAAAGATTTTTAAGTGTCAACTAGGTGAGAAGACTAGAAGGAAAAAAAAAAAACGAAAAAGCAAAAAAAATAATTAAATGAGACTGGTCGCTAGCGACCACCCTCAACGCGCCCACTGGGTGATGTTGATGCGCTTAAAGCACACCAACTTTTTTTTTTGCGTGGGCCCACAATAGGAGACAAAAATCAAACTATCCTGCAACTCTTTTTTTTTTTTTTCCTTCTCTCTCTTTCAAATAATTTTAAGCCTTCTCAAAACCTCTTAAAATCCACTATTGTGGATGCCGGCCCTTAAAGTAACTAGAAATTATTTTTTATTCTATATACATAAGTTTCCCAATTTAAGTCAGACTAATCCTAATCGAGCTACAGTTTCCATCCAAGATTAACGGTCTTTTTGTTCTATATAAGTACTTGTTGTAGTAACCTAATTAATAACAAGTCATGAGGTACAATATGGGTCGTTTAGTTATTTGGGTTCTTGCGATATTCTGGATCTCAATCACTCGAATTTCACTGGCCATCAATGACGACGATGGCCATGACTTATTTTCCTTCAACAAAGATTATAACTTCGACTACAAAGAAGCACTTAGCAAAGCTATACTATTTTTCGAAGGACAACGTGCCGGAAAATTGCCCCCTACTCAGCGTGTGACGTGGAGAGGCGACTCCGCCCTCGCCGACGGCATCCCTGAAAATGTACGTACACTATATATATATATATATATATATATTTCATTTATTACCTTTCTTGGTTTAATTAGTTTTCTATCTTTTCCCATGCATGCATCCTTTTGGAAGGGGAAAATTATTGGCGACCATTCTACACAGAACGGTCGCGGATGCTCAACATTCGCTGTTTCACAATGGTGGTAGAAATTAAAGTCCCAGGTTTCCTGTGGTCCTAGTATCCGCGACTGTTGTACAATAGTTACGAAAAACACTTTACAATGGTCACGGATTAGCTATTCTGTACTAGTGATTTTTTTTATAAACATTAGACGATAGTTTAGAAAGTAATTAAAGAACCAAGTCCAGCAATTAATGGCTAATGGATTGTTGGTTGCGGCTTTGAAAGTCAAGTTCAACACCGTGTCTTTTGAAAATGTAATAATATAAAATTTTATAAAAAAAAAATTGGTTTTTATCCTAACCATCAAGTATAGTATAAATGTTTTTTTTTTTTGGTTACAAACAAATTGTAACAGGTAAGTTTGAGTGGAGGGTACTATGATGCTGGGGACAATGTGAAGTTTGTATGGCCAATGTCGTTTTCCGTGACCTTGTTGAGTTGGGCTGCCGTGGAGTACCAGAAAGAGATTAGTTCCGTGAACCAGATGCTCCACCTCCGGCGAGCAATCCGGTGGGGAACCAATTTCATAATCCACGCCCAAGCTTCACCCACCACCCTCTACGCCCAGGTAATAAATCAGACTTCACATTGAAAATATAAGAGAGAACATATGAGTTTATAAAGTATTGTATATTATATCTCAGTTGAGTGACCCTAGTCTAATCTTATGATAGTGCAGGTGGGTGATGCGAATGGTGATCATCGGTGCTGGGAGCGGCCGGAGGATATGGACACTCCGCGGACGTTGTACAAGATTAGTCCCGAGTCTCCGGGGAGTGAGGTGGCGGCGGAGGCCGCCGCCGCGCTAGCCGCCGCATCCATTGTGTTCAAGGAATATGATTCCAAGTACTCGGCTAGGCTATTGCGACGATCAAAATTAGTAAGTGCTAAATTAAATTAAAACAATTTCACTTTATTTTTACAACTCAAATTGTATTCATCCTTTTATTCTATCTTTTTTTTTTTTTTTTAAATCTTAATTAGAAAAGAGTTTAATTAAATTCGTTATGGTTTTAATTTCATCAGCTATTTGAGTTTGCCGACAAGTATAGAGGATCTTTCCAGGGTTCTTGCCCTTTCTATTGTTCTTACTCAGGTTATCAGGTAATAACTAATTAATATTAAGAACTTACTCAGTTTGTCTATTTTTATGAGTTATTTATAAAATTTTAGTACCAAAATTTGTTCACACTGTAGATTTTTACTCAATGCTGACTATTTATGTTATACACAATGAATTAATTATAATTATTTATTATTGAAACTTGAAAGGATGAACTACTATGGGCAGCTGCATGGGTTTACAAGGCGAGTGGAGAAACGGAGTACCTCAACTACGTTTCCAGCAATGAGGGATGGAGTCACACTGTGTCAGAGTTCAGTTGGGACAACAAGTTTGCTGGAGCTCAGGCCTTGCTAGCTAATGTTAATTACCATAATTTATAAATTACTCCTTAATTAATTTTAATAATAATAATAATAATAATAATAATAGTAAATTTCTTTGATATATTAGGAGTATTTCAAAGGGAATGGAAATTTGGAGAAGTTTAAGAAGGAGGCGGAGTCGTTTGTTTGTGCTTTGATGCCGGGGAGTAGTTCTGTACAAGTCAAAACAACCCCAGGTAATAATCATAATTTTCATTTTATATTTGCCATACGGATTTTATAGTCTTAAGAATTACGAATTGGCTGACCTATTACTATACCAATTTATAAAATAATTATGAATTAGCTGACCTATTAATTAGTAAAAAAGAGTCCCTTTATAATTAATAATAATAATTGGAGTATATATCACTTTTGGTCCCTTAACTATCATAGTTGAAGTATTTTTTGTCCTTACTATTACTTTTTTCGAATTAGGTGCATGACTTTCTAACTAGTATCATTTTTGATCTTCCAATCTAATTTTCTGGCCACATATTACCGAAATTGCAACCGAAAAAATAATATGTTATAATTAGAAGGATATTTTGATCCTTTAAAATTTATTTTATTTTCCTTTTTTTTTTTTCTTCTTCCCCTTTCTTCCTCAGCTCTCCATTTCTATTTCTCACAAACGGAGGCTGTGGATATATGGAGTGTGTTAGTTTGTGAGAAATAGAAACGGAGAGCTGAGGAAGAAAGCGGGAAGAAGGAAAATATAAAAGAGGAAAATGGAATAAATTTGAAAGGATTAAAATACCCTTCTAATTATAACATATTATTTTTTCGGTTGCAATTTCGGTAATATATGGCCGGAAAATTAGCCCAAAAGACCAAAAGTGATACTAGTTAGAAAGTCATGCACCTAAATTAAAAAAAAAAAAACAAAAAAAAAAACAATAGTCAAGGACAAAAAATACTTCAGCTATGATAGTCAAGGGACCAAAAGTGATAGTTACTCTTAATAATTGAGTTAATGTCTTATGGGTCCTCCTAGTATAGTGATTTTGGAATTGTCACGTTTAGTTTTAAATTTTCCAATTGACCACGTTTGGTCCTTCGACTTTCAAATCGTTACCATCTGTGGTTAAAATTAACCACCCATAGTCCTTCAACTTTCAAAATTTAGTCAATCGTGGCCCTCCTTGGTGGGTTAAAATTTGATACCTACACATAATGGCCCTGTTTGGTAACATAGTTACCTTATCAATCAATTTTGATTTATTTAACCATTATTAGCTGTTTGAGTTGGTTAAACAATCAATATGAGTGTTTGATTAATCAGTTCTTTGTAACAATTTATTGCTCTAAAATACTAAAATTCAAAAAACTGCTCAAAATAATCTTTTTATCAACTTTTTGGGGAAGTCATTTTACATGTAATCAACTATCAGTTGATAGCTAATTTACCAAACACTTTTTAATTTCTACATTCAGTTAATATTATCAACTAGTCAAACCACTAATCCAATCAGCTAATATATAGCTATTTACCAAACACCCCCAATATAAATTTTTAAGTATAATTGTTTGTTGATGTATGTTGCAATAAAATTTGGTTAATTGCATGCAGGTGGTCTTCTTTATACGAGAGATAGCAGCAATATGCAATATGTTACTAGTGCCTCTATGATACTCCTTGTGTATTCCAGGTTCCTTGATGCAGCTAATGTTGGGGGTGTTAATTGTGGTTCTCTCACTTTCTCACCCTCTCAAATCAAAGCATTCGCAAAGTCTCAGGTTAGTTATTATATCATTATTATTAGCAAATTAAACGTCTCAAGTTGAGTGTCCCAGTTTATAATTTAAGGGTTTAATCGAGTTGAGACAAAGTTGAATGATCAAACCTCAAAACTCAATCAATTTGATTCGAAAAATCATTGAATCGAGCCGGGGTATAATATAATGCAAAATGCTGCAGGTAGACTACATACTAGGAAATAATCCGATGAAGATGTCATACATGGTAGGTTACGGGACAAAATACCCAGACCAGGTTCACCATAGAGGGGCATCAATTCCCTCCATCCATACACATCCATCCAAGGTGAGCTGCGATGAGGGATTGAACTCGTGGTTCTACTCCGGCAACCCGAACCCGAATACCCACACCGGAGCAATCGTGGGTGGACCCAACTCCGGCGACCAGTTCATCGACTCCCGCTCTGACTACTCACACTTGGAACCCGCAACATACATTAACGCAGCCTTTGTGGGATCGGTGGCTGCTCTTCAAGCCCACTCTTCCAAAGATGACCATTTGCAATTCATATATGCAAGTATGTAGTTACCATTATATTGTGTCCTAGAAAATTACACTATATGTGGTGGACCTGTTGGCAGCAATATAATGCCTCAATATTGATCCGAACATATAGATATATACACTAATCTTTTATTACTCGAAATCTGCCCCATTACCATCCCTATACAACTATATCCCAACCCCATTGGAGTTTTATTTAATTAATGAGTTTGACTAAACAAAAATTTTATCTCCAATTAAAAAAAAAAAAAAAAAAAAAAAAAAAAAAAAAAACGTACTTCTGTGACAATCAATCATAACTGGATGAGAGCACCCCACTAAAACTAAGCTTGATGAAACTTCTGAATTGATTCCTAAACAAAAATGGAATAATGATACACAAATACATATCGCTAGTTACAATAATAAGGCCCTTAGTACCTCTCATTGGTTGTTGGTTGCATTGAAGCATTGGTGGCTTGGGAAATTTTATGAACTACCTATGATGGAACATACTCCATGCAATAGTCAAAATTGCAGTAGAATCATTCAAAGTTTGAGCAACTCAGGGTGAAGGAAGATGAAACCATAGTCCAGTTCTAACACTTGAGTTCAAAATCTTTTAAACGAATTGAAACCATTATAATGGGTGAAGCATTCCCTTAAAAGAAGATCTTCAAGACTTTGTTTGGTAAAACTTATAATTTATTTTAATTTCTAAATAAGCTATAAGCTCTATTTGATAAAACATGTAGACTTTAAAATAATAAGCTATAAGCTCGCCAGACGGACAACTGGATAGGCGGGACAACCACGGCTATCTGTGAAATACGCTGAAATTCTTTTCTTTTCTTTTTTTTTTTTTTATATATATTTTATTTTATTTTTTAATTATTGAATAGGCAACCTGTTAGCAACTTGCAAAAAAAAGTCAATGGAACAAATTTAGCTGGTAAATGTGGCTGATTAAACTTTAATTTAGTTCGTGGTGAGAATTGAGCACTTCGCAGTAGTAGATGAGCTTATTTGACACTTCTGCCTTTTTATTATACTAAATGTACATTTTTAATACACTGAATATTTATTTTTAAAAAATATATTATTTGATATACTACCTAATAATCATGGTTGCAAAAATCGCGCCTAAGCGCTAGGCAGCTGCCGGCCGCCTAGCGGCAGGTTCGGCGATAATTTTTTATTTTTTTATTTTTTTTGCGTTGTAAAGTTAGAAAAGTTTGGGAAGGCATAACTTTTGACTCGATCGTCCGTTTTGGACAATTTTTTTTTTCAAATCGCGTATTTTTTCGAGATCTATCCACCGCAAATCGCGGTTTGGTCCACTAATTTCTCAAAAAAAATGCTTCTTTTGCTCTTAATTTTAGTTTTTTTTTTTTTATGTATTTAGATGGTTTAAACAATCTTTTGAACACTTTTACAACCACTTACATAAATAGTTTGCAAGAAATAACTATGAAAACCTTATGTTTTATTACTAAATTTTGAAAATTTTTAATTTTTAATTAAAAAAATAAAAATAAATAAAAATAAAAAATAAAAAATCATCGCCTAGAGGGCACCTAATGTTTTTTGCAACATTGCGAATAATACACATTCAGTATATAAATAATATATATTCAGTATATTAAAAACGTACATTTATTAATAGTCCAGAGTATAATTTGCCCCAAACTAATTGCATTCTCGCTCAACTTATGGGAATTGAAATTTGTAGACTTATGAAAGGGAGATCTTAGCTTGTATGATGAAATTCCTTCCAAGAAAGGGAAGTCCATTGCAATCGTTATACCGTGGATCAGGGTCCACAATGCAATGTGAACCTTATTTTTAAATGACGTAGTTTTAAATTTTAATTTTGATGGCGATCGTTTGTTGTTCAATTGACATAACAGTTTTTTTTTTTTTTTTTTTTTTTTTTTTTTTTTTTGTACTGTAAAGCATGTGTATGTGTCATATGTTATGCATTTCAATGTCTCATGTTATGCAATTCTGTATCTTAAGCGTAAGGATTCTGTATCTGAAATAAAGTAAATATAACATGCGCTTTTGTGCCTTGTGCTATGCGTTTTTGTGTCTTGTATGTGTTATGCATTTTTGTGTCTTATGTTATGCAATTCTGTACCTTAATAATATTGATTCTGTACCTGAACTAAAGTAAATATAAAACATGTGTATGTGTCTTGTGTTATGCGTTTCTGTATCTCATGTTATGCAATTCTGTACCTTACGCATATAGATTCTGTACCTCAAATAGATTAGTAGTTGGGTAACACACAACATATTGTGTCTCTTATTTTACGAATTTATGTGTTATATTATGAAATTATGTGTCTATAAGACATATGCTATCTACCTAAATCAGATTTGAGAATAAGTAAATATATAACATGTGTATGCATTTTGTGTTGTGAGTTTTTGTGTCTCGTGTTATAAAATTCTGTACTTTAAGAGTACTGGTTTTGTACCTAGAATAAATTAAAATTTGTGTTGAAACATAAGAAACGAAAAACTACAGAATCTGTTAAAACTTAAATTTCAAAACGACGTCGTTTTGATCCAAGGTCCACAATGCTATATATGTGGACCCTGGTCCACGATATAAATTGTCGTACATTGCATTTGTTGAAAAAACAAGGCTTTGGATCATACCTAGAATATACAAAGGATGATACTCATATTAAAATGAGACAGATCAAGTTAGCTTGATTTAATGAATGAAAAATAAAATAAGACATAATGAGACAATGAGTAATTCATAAGTCACTGTTACTTCATACATTCTACCTCAACAAGCATCTGCGCACAGCGTACAGCCATGATGCCTTACATATTTGAAATTAAAAATAAAAAATAAAAATTAACGGGATCAGATTAATATAATAATAACTATACAAGGCAATTAGCTCTTAATTAAAATAGTTCAAGTAAAACTAAGCCCTGTTGAAGTCATCAAAAGTCGATATGTCCGAGTGGTTAAGGAGACAGACTTGAAATCTGTTGGGCTATGCCCGCGCAGGTTCGAACCCTGCTGTCGACGTCCTTTCACTATCAAAAATTTAAAAGCTAATAAATGTTACTCCGCATTATACATGTATGTGTTATACGTAGGAATTTTGTATTTTATGTGGTGTATGTTCTTCCCCCATTTCATAACTTTATGTTTCCGATATGAATTATGTGTATTAGCTTTAATTTATTTAATAATTGAAAGAAACAATCATATTAAGTAAATATTATTAGAGTTAATTCCACCAGAGGTCTCTTGTTTTTTGTGGCAATTTCAATTTTAGTTTCAGATTATCGTTTTTGTCATTTAACATCCCAGAATATAATGCAAAATGCTACATGTAGACTAGACTACATACTAGGAAATAATCCAATGAAGATGTCATACATGGTAGGTTATGGGACAAAATATCCAAACCAGGTTCACCATAGAGGGGCATCAATCCCCTCCATCTATACACATCTATCCAAGGTGGACTGCAACGAGGGATTGAACTCGTGATTTTACTCCGGCAACCCGAATCCAAATACCCACACTGGAGTAATTGTGGGTGCCGACTCCCGCTCCAACTTCTCACACTTGGAACCCACAACATACACTAACGCAGCCTTTGTGGGATCGGTGGCTGCTCTTCAAGCCCACTCTTCCAAAGATGACCATTTGCAATTCATATATGCAAGTATGTAGTTACCATTATATTGTGTCCTAGAAAATTACACTCTATATGTTGTATGTGGAACTGTTGGCTGCAATATAATTTTTTTTTTTTTTTTTATGTAAACCACAATGTGATCCGGGTCTTTTTCTGTCCGTTTAACTGTCCAGGTCCACTCGGTTCGCTTCGAGAGGTACCGAAACTGGCCCAAAAAAATCGTCACTTGTAAGAATCAGACTCGGGTTATCCCGAAATCCCCCCCCCCCCCCCCACCCCACCCCCACCCCCACAAAGAGAGCTCATTTGCCACTTGAGCTACCCTGTTGGGTTTGGCTGCAATATAATGCCTCAATATTGAAACATATATATACACTAATCTTTTATTACTAATGGAGTAATGCTAATAATGTTACCAGAAAGTATTTGTGTGTAAGTAAATAGGGATAACTGATAAGTACGTAGCATTGCTAAGGGTTTGAGTACAAGATTGAGCGTGCAGTGTCTCCTACCTGTCATAGGAGTTCAGTATTTATATTGACTTTAGTCTAATAAGTGCAACGGCTCAATATAAGTACAACGACTCTATAACAAGTACAGAGCTCCCCTCAATAACGACCCGTTTGGTTCGTAAAAAATATTTGATCGAGCAAGAATGAAATTGAAATTCCGTGAAAAATTAATTACATTGTTCGATTGGACCAAGAGTGTACAAGGTTAAATTCGAGACTGTAGGATTATCCAATTATCACTTCAGTAACAATATAATGAAAATTTTGATACATAATTACTAGAAGTTACTATTTATTATACTCCGTATGTAATTAAGAACACTTCAAATGTCGAAATAATATAATATATTATATTATATATTAAACTACTCTTGAAACGTTTATCTCCAATCTCAAAGAAAAACGTACTTCTGTGACGATTAAGAAATATATAACTAAATAAGCCTTGAAGATTGCATCAGGAGTCGATATGTCCGAGTGGTTAAGGAGACAGACTTGAAATCTGTTGGGCTACGCCCGCGCAGGTTCGAACCCTGCTGTCGACGTATTCTGGTCATCAGCAAATTAAAGATCTCAGTAAAGAAAATAGTTTTAATAATTGGGAATACTAATTTCAACAGAATAAATTGTTTTTTTTTTCTTAATGCTACTGTGCATCTTAGCTTGTTTACGTGGTGTATGTTCTTCCCCCATTTTGCATAACAAATTTCATAACTTTAATTTTTTGGTTGAATATTTGAATGATGTTTCCGATATGAATTAATTTGTTACAAAGACGCACCTTAAGTGTTAAAATGGTATACTTTAAATATTAAAATGACACACCTTAAATGTTATATTAAAATATCATTAAAATACCCGTAAATTATTCTGTGAACTCGGGTCCACCTTGTAAGGTGGATCCGTGTTAAAAGTACACAATTTACATACTAAATATTCACAATTTAAATTGTAAACATTCAGTATGTAAATTGTATATTTTAGATTCGGGTGCATAGTATAACTATCCCACTACTATTGATTTGATGTATGAGTTTGACTAACTAATAATTACTCTTCTACCTCTATTCATTTTTGTATAAAATTGGGCGAAAATCAGTTTATTTGTGGGATTATTATTTTCCTTCAAATATTTCATGATGGGCCGGGCGCTTAGTAGTTAGTATTAATTTATTTTTGATTTTTTGATTTTCCAATTTGAAACAAGAATTACACTGACGATCCTAATTTCAGTTCCAATAAATTATAAATAGCAAATCGAATAAAACCTTATGAGTTTTGGTTCCAATTTAATTTGCATAGTACATTAGTACATTTATGATGAATTCAAACTATTTTGTTTTAGTTACACTCTAATCTATTTATAAATCATAATATTTGAAATTCATAATCTCTGGAATGAAATTTGAACGTGCAACATTCCTTATTAAAACTAACAATATCATAATACCACAAGGTAACTAATTGGCACCTCTCTAACTAAAAAGCCTTTCGCCTTGTCTGGTAACATAGTTAGCTTATCAGCCAATTTTAACTTATTTGATCATTATTAACAATTTAACTTGGTTAAATAATAAAAAACCATTTTTTTTGATAAATTTGGTCCTATTTGGTAAAAAATTGGCTTATAGACCAATTTTAACTTATTTGTCCAATATTAATTGTTTGATTCAGTTAAAATATCAACATAAGTGTTTGGTTAATTAGCTTTTTGCAACTCCAAAATGTTAAAATTTAAAAAACTACTCCAAACAACTTTTTCAATTAGTTTTTTAAGAAAAGAAATTATATCAAACAGCTATCAGCTAACAGCTAATTTACCAAACACTTTTTTACAACATCTAATGTTATCAACTAGTTATATCATCTAATTAACACATTTAGCTAACAGCCATTTACTAAACATGAAGTAATTTTGAATGTAATCAGCTATAACTCACATTTATTTTACCAAACATTTTTTTATCAACTACTCAAACTCATTAATCCAAAGTTAGGATTTAATTGGTTCATTTTAAAAGGTAAGGGAGTAGTACTAATTTGCGCGGGAGATAGACGATTTGCCATTCATTATTTGCGGCATTCAGCGATGGGAGATCTCTCAAAATCATCCATTTTCTTCTCCGATCAACACCTCTGCTACGCCGATATTCTCCCTCCATTGCAGGTTCTCTCTCTTATTCTCTCTCTCTCTCTCTCTCTCTCTCTCTCTCTCTCTCTTCATTATACAGATCAACTAAGAGAGTAATATGTTCAGGTTCGAGCTAGAATCGAAGTTGCAGTCCTAAATTTCCTCAAAGCCTTAAGTTCTCCAACTCCATCCATCTCAAATCTTCCTCTGGTGCGGTTTTCTCCTCAAACTCTTTAAATTTACATTTATAATTTGTCTTGATCCTATGTATAGCATTCTAGAGGAACTCACTGTTTGTCTTTAAAAAAATTTGATATCTAACACATAATCCTGAATTTATCCAAGTTCAAAAGATCCTACCTAGATTTTTGTGTGTGTGTGTTTCTTTGTTCTTCAATGATTTGGAGAAAATTTATATATGAAACAGATTAGTAGAAAGTCGAATAATAGCAGAGTGAGTCGAGGACTTTTGACTGATGAATCGTGGATTTTTCTCTCCTATTCATTTTGTACGCGTTCATTAATGAGGGAGAATACTGCCAAGTCTTTTGTAAGAGGTGAGGAGAGATAAGCGGTTCAGTGTTCGATTTATTTGCTATGCTTACAATTTTGTACTATTGATTTTCGTTTATGTCATTCAAGTGTGGAAGGTTATGGAGATGTGTTACCAAATTCTGAGTCATGATGAGAAAAGGGTGACCCAAAGAGAATTATTTTACAAGCTGCTCTGTGATTCACAAGACTATTTTAATTCTCAACTGCAGGTCAACAGGACGGTCCAAGGTCTAAATCATTTATGTTCTTCTTCGTTTCTTTGATCATGCTAGTTTTAGATACTTCTTCTCCCATCTGTTTCATATTTCAAGAATTTCAGATAATTTTTTTTTGTTTTGTGAAAAATAGATTTGGTAGCATTGCTTCAGTGTAGTCGTTACAGTCTTGGAATAATGGCATCCAGCAGAGGAGCGGTTGCTGGCCGTCTTTTGCTGCAGGCATTGATCTTTACCCTTTGAATTGCCTGCACTTTTAAATGTTGAAAGGATTAAGAACTAGAAATTTGGAGATGCTAGTTAAGTTGTTGATGGTAGATTGGTAGTCCATTTGTTATTTCCAGTTTATTTCTAAAGTATTCATCTACAGAGTTTAGAAGATGATAAGTAGATTCATTTATCTTCTCACTTTGAACCATTTCAAAAGGAGCCAAACCAAGAGTTTGTGGACTGCTCTACTTGTGGGTCTTCGGGTTATGCTATTTCTGGGGACCTGAGCCTGTTGGAAAAATTAGTCATGAAGTCAGATGCCCGGTATATCATTCTAGTGGAAAAGGTATCTTCTTATAAACATTCCAAGAACCATTTGCTAGAGATGCTGCAACTTACTGAAACCATTTGTATATGTAGCATGCTATATTCCAGCGGCTCGCTGAGGATCGTATTTTCAATCAAATCCCATGTATTCTAATCACTGCAAAAGGGTATCCAGATATTGCCACTAGGTGAGGTTAGAATTTAGAAACTAAGCAGAACATTGAATCTTCTTCTGTAGTCTTGACTGAAGTTATAGCCACACTCCCACAAGGCACCCTCTTAATTGATCTTTTTTAGTTCTTGGCATAAGATGATATTTTCTGAGTTTTTGAAACGGCACAGGTTTCTTCTTCATCGGATGAGCAGGAAATTTCCTAGCATTCCAATTCTGGGTTTGGTGGACTGGTATTCACTGCCTTACTGGCATTGCTTCACCTTAATCAACAAGTACTAATTTGCATCTTCCAAAATGATTTCTTTAGGAACCCTGCTGGCTTGGCAATACTGTGCACATTCAAGTATGGCAGCATAGGGATGGGCCTGGAAGCTTTTAGATATGGTGCCTTTCTCTGCTCTTCCATTAGATGGAATATTGTCAGAATTCAGAAATCTCCTCAATAGGATTTGATTTCGGTTCGTTTCCAATCGTGCAGCTTGCAATGTAAAGTGGCTTGGATTGCGAAAGGATGATATAGAGAAACTAGTACCAGAAGAATCTTTAGTCCCTCTGAAGCAGCGAGATCTTCAGATTGCAAAAAGCTTGATATCATCAGAGATTTTGCAGGTAAAGCTTCAAAGACTCAATGAATGGATTGTTACATGACTAGTAAATATTGTTGATTTCATTCAATTTGATTCAGGATAATTACAAAGAAGAATTGGCAGTGATGGTTGAGAGTGATAGGAGGGCAGAAATTGAAGCTCTCTACTTCCATGGTTATGATTTCTTAGGAAAGTTCATTGCCAACAAAATTGTGCAGATGGATTACATTTGATTTGATTATATGCATTCACTTGTGCTAGATCACCCAGCACACTCTTAATTTGGTATCGTAAAGGTTTTCTCTTTTCAAAATTTTAGTCCTGTCTAAAGTTACAAACCTTTTCAACTCGAGGTTTGATATGCTTGTTTATAGCCTTGTAGGTCAGGTCATGAAATTGACTCTTTATGGTCATTATGATATGAAATAGTCATGTTAATTTTTTATAAATATAATAATTTCAGAGTGTTGCAATGCTTGCAAAAGTTGACAAAGGTGATCTTTGTACTTTTTCCCTTGTTATTTTTTTTTTAATTATTTTGTTGTTTTATGGATGTAGAGAAAAGAATGAGTGAATTATAAATATGATAATATCGTCTTTCGGCTTGCAGATTAAAATAACCAAGAAAAATTCAGCTTAACACTCACAAATGGATGGATATAGAAACTTAAAAAAAAAATAAAAATAAAAAAAAATTATCCTAGACTTCATCTTTATTCAAGGTTTTGTAAGACTTTGATTGAAGGATTATGTGTATGAACTTACTGTTACATTCTTCAAAACATAAACCAAGCCATTATTATTAGGACTATTAGGACTCTATTATCCATATTAGACTAGGACTATATTATTCGTGTTAGACTAGGATTCTATCTTGCATCTCTATATATTCGCTCCCAGACATTATTATTGAATACAACACAATTATATTCCCATCTGGTATCAGTTAGCCAGAGTTTTTCTTTTCCAACATCAATGTTCCTCACTTCGTAGCAGTAGCCGATGGCATCAAACCAAGATACATCGTATCAGAAGCGGTCCGGTCAACGACATGACGTTGATGATCCGTGTCAAATTTGTAACGGTTTCTGTAAGTGTAAATATATTGCACATTTAAACCTCTGTTTTATTGGCTTAGATTAGTTGTCAAAGTAGTTCTGGATTAGTTGCTGGATTAGTCACACGTCTGGAGTAGTTGACTGGATCAGCGCAAGGAAGTTATCCAGGAGGTAAAAAGCTTGTTCAAAGTATTTATTCAAGACCCTATCAATGGGGAGATCTAGATCTAATGGAGCAGCCGAATTCAAGGAATGGAAGAGTGCATACTTTGAGGATCAAAACATCATTTACAACCTATATATAATGCTACCTTAATTAGCATTTGATTGACGCACTCTTTCACAAAGTCTTACACTGAAATCTTGGTGCATCTATACCGAAGATAATCTGTACTGTTGTGTGTGAAGAAGATCTTGCAATCAGATCATGAAGAAATGAAGAACGCCTGCACATCGGATCCACTGGAGTAGGCTCTGGAGTAGTTATAGGTTATACTGTAGAGTGTAATTAACTATCCTCTTGTACTCCGTTTTTCATCATAGTGGATTTGGGTTGATGTGAGTGGCCCCGCAGACGTAGGAGTGAGGCTCCGAACTGCGTGAACATATCCTGGTGCATGCTTTCTTTTACTGCTATTTATTTCATGTTATTTATTATTTCTGGAATATGTTGTCTTCTAGTCCAGCTTTATAATTGAAATAAATTAAAGGTTTTAAAGGTTATATCTTGCATTCAAGATTCACGTGCTTTTTCAATTGGTATCAGAGCACGGGGACTTAAATTACTAGTCTAAACCGATCTGGCTATCACGTGTTTTTTGAATTCAAGATCTCAGCATCTGTGCCTTTTTTTGTTTTTCTGGTTTACTTGTTGCTCATTGTGCATTGAGTCTTACAGAATGGAACGACATAGAGCACCTCCTGAGCTAACAGGTGACAACTATGCGTACTGGAAGGCCCGCACCAAAATGCATCTACGAGCTCAAGGGGAGAGGGTCTGGAGGGCTGTTCTCACTGGTTGGACTCATCCTACCAAAGCTGGAGCCAATACAGGAGATCCTCCAGTCCTCAAACCAGAAGCGGAATGGACAGAAACTGAGATGACTACTGCAGGCTTCAATCATAAAGCGTTAGATATTATTTTTTCTTTAATGCATGAGAGCCAATTTACTATTGTTGCAGGATGTGATTCGGCCAAAGACGCTTGGGATGCCCTAGAAACTACCTATGAAGGAACTGCATCAGTTAAACAATCCAAACTCCAAATGGTTCAAACCGACTTTGAAGATCTAAAGATGAAAGATGATGAAACCATAGTGGATTTTCATGCTCGGATACAAGAACTAGCCAATAGGGCAAGCATTCTAGGTGAACCAATCACTCAAGAACGACTCGTCAAAAAGATTCTTCGCTCACTTCCTCCAAGGTTTCGAATGAAAGTTACAGCCATTCAGGAGCACGATGGATGGGAAAAGAAAACGGTACAACAATTGATGGGAAGCCTACAAACTTATGAGATGGAAATCTTAGGCGGACCTAAAACAAAAGGAAAAACCGTAGCATTCACTGTAGAAGACGCTGGAGCTGTTTCTGATCCAGATGAGGTAAGTGATGATCCCGTAGTCTTTTTAACTAAAGGTTTTTCTAAATTGTTGCAACAGGTAAAACAAAGACAAACTGGAAAGCTAGGCAAGTTTCAAGGCCAAAAAGGATTAGGATCAAGTGCAAATCGAAACAATCAAAGATCAAACTCATCCAGCCAACGACCAGGTGCTTATCGGAACTCTCAATCTAAAGACAAAACCGGAGGCAAAGGGATCAAGTGTTATGAATGTGAAGGGTATGGCCATGTGCAGGCTGAATGTCCAACCTATTTGAGAAGGAAGAAGTCAATGAAAGTTGCCCTTACCTGGAGTGATGACGATGAACCAGAAACAGATCCAGGTTCTGATCCAGATGAGATCTCCGGAAACTTTGTTGCCTTTACAGCTCTTACAACTACCGTATCTGCTTCTACAACTGGCGAAGAATCAGAAATTGAAGAGTATGTGTCATCAGAAGACCAAGACTTACCAGCACCTACATTTGAAGTAGAGTATAAAAAACTGTATGCAAAATGGGAAATTCTTGTAAAAGTCAATAGGTCTCTGTCTAGTCAGGTTAACATTCTAGAAAATGCCAAAAAAGTGTATCTATCTAAAATTTCTGACAGGGACAGCATCATTGAAGACAGTCACAAGAAAGAAGAAAGTCTCAAACATGAGCTAGAAGATCTCAAAAAGGAACTGGAGCAACTCAAACGCAAGATAAAAATGATGGACAACACATCCACCTTAGACCAAATTTTAGACTCTGGTCGAAAGACGTCTACAAAATATGGGTTAGGATACTCTGGAGGAAAGGACAAAGCCACTACAATTTTCGTCAGAGCCTCAGGTTCTGACTCAGTCTCTGGAGCAGTTCAAGATCGTCCAGAAACCAGTACAGCTCGGCGTCAAATTAACTTTGCTCCAAGAAAAACATCACTCAAGGTTAGAGTGTATAATCCTATATGTCATTACTGCAGGGTACGCGGACATACAAAACCAGAGTGCTTCTACTTCTACAAAGACCAACGTCGTGAGAAATTCACAAACAAATCTATCACCCCGTTTGTCAAGCAAATTTGGGTGAAGAAAAGTGACTTTGTATGTCATGTCTCTTTCCACTCTACGAGTACTAACAGAAAAGAGAGATGGTACTTTGATAGTGGATGCTCACGGCATATGATGGGTGATGCTAAATACCTAAACAACGTAAAGGGAAGTACAGGAGAAGTAACTTTTGGCGACGGTGTTAAGGGAAAAATTACTGGAATTGGAACTCTAAATGTCACAGGTCTACCCAAACTCCAACAAGTTCTATTGGTGGAAGGTCTGCATGCAAATCTGATTAGTATCAGCCAATTATGTGATCAAGAGTGGAAAGTCTGCTTTACAAAAGACAGCTGCAACGTTACAGACTACAAAAAGAACTGTGTCATGGAAGGTAAACGCTCTTCTGATAATTGTTATATACTTACTAACGATTCTTATTGTTATAGGTCCAGCATAAAAGAATCAAAACTGTGGCATCAAAAGTTAGGCCACTTGAATTATCGCTCTCTTGAAAAATTGATAAAAATCGAGGGTGTTCGGGGTCTACCGAGTATCAAGGTAGAAAAAGCTGGAGTATGCAGCGCCTGTCAAGCTGGAAAACAAACTAGAGCAGCGCATACCTCTCAAAACATGATCAATACCACACACTGCCTGGAACTCATTCACATGGACCTCATTGGACCTACCAGAACAGAAAGCATTGGAGGTAAAAGGTACATTTTAGTTTGTGTTGACGATTTTTCTAGGTTTTCGGGGGTCAGTTTTCTCAGGGAAAAGTCAGAAACCTTCGAAGCCTTCAAAGCCCTGGCCCTAAAACTCCAGAAAGAGAAAAATGAGCCAATCATACGCATTAGAAGTGATCATGGACGTGAATTCGACAATCAAGTATTTGATGATTGGTGCGCATCAATCGGTATTTTCCATGAGTATTCAGCACCTAAAACACCACAACAAAATGGTGTGGTTGAAAGAAAGAATCGGACGATTCAAGAGATGGCTCGGGTTCTACTCAATGCAAAAGACTTGCCTCAGAGATTTTGGGCTGAAGCAGTAAGTACTGCTTGTCACACGATAAACCGAGTATATCTACGACCCGGAACGCATCATACTCCATATGAAATATGGAAAGGTAAGAAGCCTAATATCAACTACTTTCATATTTTCGGCTCACGGTGTTTTATCTTGAAGGATCGAAACCCAACCGGAAAATTCGAGCCTAAAAGTGATGAAGGGTACTTTCTTGGGTATTCAACGAATAGTCGTGCCTACCGTGTGTATAACAAAGTTACAAAATCTATCATGGAATCGGCAAACGTGGTGGTTGATGATCAACCTGAGGAAATAACTGAGGTTATAAGTGTCTCTAACCCAGAAGTCACTCCAGAATCTGCCACAGATAATCCAGAAACCCCTGAAACTACAACATCAGATTCTACTCAATCTTGTCCGGAAACTGCTCCAGAACCTAGTCCCGACCCAGATGCTGGAGCACTCGAAGGGGCTATTCGTCTTCGCAGAGATCACCCTACTCAGAATATC